AAAGAGCAGTGTTGCCAACTTTTGTTGCTATATTTGGCAACTTTTCAGACCCCTCAAGCTTCTAGACTTGACTTTGACTTGACAGTGACTTTTTTCTGCTACTGGAGACTTTGGTGACAACATCTAAAAGCAGCGAACTCTGCTCTCCAGAGCTAGTAGATTGGTAACCCTACCTCCTGCTCTCCTCTCTCTTGTCTGCTGTCATGATTCATGCAGCTATTATTTCATCCAATGAAACACGGGAAGGAACAATCAGCTAAGTGAGCTTAGTGCTTGGAAAAAATCTTTCATTCCTTTTGAGACTGCATGAAAGGCCAGCTGAGTACAAAACATAGAGGAAAACAACAAGAAAAGGGACAAGAAGAGAGGGACAAAACCTAGAACAAAAACAAATTTCCTAAATCTTCCCCTGACCATATTAGAATCAGGTTTGATGTGCTGTTAAACCCTTAAAGGCTTCACGCCCTCTTAAACCTGTATCCTGTCAGCTGACTTTAAAATAAAGGCCACCGGTGCCAAAATGAAAAGATAAATAATAGAAATGATTCCTAGACACAATGACAGGAGGAGCATTTCCTTTCTGATGGTTCTGCCAGGTTATTTATGACTAGTCAGAAAAAAGGAAACCATGATGAAACGAGTGACCCTCTGTTTCCTGAAAAATATCTGAACAAAGCTTTTACCAAGCTAACACTCATAATGACTGCATTCAGTGAGAAAAAAGGCCCAGAAGTATTCAAACATACATGAGCCTCAGGTGCTGCCAGGCGGGACCGGAGGGTGAAGGGTTAAAGTTTATCTCTGTGCTGGAGGACACATGACTGCAAACAGCTGATGCTTGATGCAAACACTTTGAGAGGGTAGTTAAAAATACACACTTAGGTATGCGAGTAAAGTGGTAAATGTCCTTCAGGAATGCTCATTTTCACAGTTTTCACAGAGTGTGAAGTGACACGGCCGGCTTGTTCGACCAGATAAGGAGCCGCAGTCACATGGAAAGGGAAACGGTTCCAAGGAAAGCCGCAATTGTTTTGCTACACGAAAGGTGGAGGAATTCATTTAAACATTAAGAGATACCTGATAGAATTAAATATACTTTTTACATTTCTCATATTGCAACATTAAATTGTTGCTGTTTAGTATTTTGGGTCCCTTTTAGATTATATTACTACTTTAAAATGATGAAAATGACTAAAACTGCATTGTCCTGCTTAAAAATATTAGTGGAATATTTTCCCTAAAACAGAGCGAAATGTAAAAAAATTCAGATTATATTTAATCACCGTCAGTCATCCCCCTGTTTAACACACAATTCAATTCAGTTTATTTCTATAGCTCCAATTCACAACATGTCATCTCAAGGCACTTTACAGTTCAACCACATCATCCAGTCAGACTGATTCAAAGTTTTCTATCTAAGGAAAACCAGCTGATTGCATCGACTCATTGACTCAAAGGCAATCCCTCACACTAAGCATGCTTGTAGCGACAGTGGAGAGGAAAAACTCCCTTTAACAGGAAGAAACCTCCAGCAGAACCAGGCTCAGTTTGAGCGGCCATCTGCTGAGGCCGACTGGGGTTCAAGGAGACAGAAGCAGAGATAGAAAAGGCAACTCTTAACCAGCTCAACAGGCAGCTTCGTCCAGGAAACACACAGCCAGGCAGACGAGCTCCGAGCCAGCTCCCATGTCAGGAGGATAAAAGAGAGCACATCCAGCCAGTCACAGTCAGAGAAACAGGCCTACAGTGAAAAACAGGCCAAGCTCCAACATTTATAAAAAAGGGTTTTGATGGCAGCAGCACAGCTGATATTTCTCTCCAGGATTGTGTCGCAGCCAAAAGGGAACAGTAGAGGCGAAGCATTATGAGAAAAAGCAGAGAGAGCAAAACATTAGAAACGGAAGTAACAAATTCAGCAGAGTGGAAGAATAGAGATAAAATGAAGAAGAATGATGAAAAGGGGTCCCTATGTCCTCCAGCAGTCTAAACCTATAGCAGCATAACTATAGAGATAGCTCAGGATAACCTGAGCCACTCTAACTATAAGCTTTATCAAAAAGGAAAGTTTTAAGCCTAGCCTTAAAAGTAGACAGGGTGTCTGCCTCACGGACTAAAACTGGTAGTTGGTTCCACAGGAGAGGAGCCTGATAACTAAAAGATCTGCCTCCCATTCTACTTTTAGAAATTCTAGGAACCACTAGTAAACCTGCAGACTGAGAGTGAAGTGTTCCGTAAGGAACATAACAGACATGTGAAACAAACGGTACCAAAACAAAAAGGAAAGGAAACAACCTTTTAGCTGTGAAAATATACATTAGAGTGGAAAGCAGAGTAATAATGAACCGAGTACATTTTGTTTTCCCAAGCAGTCGGAACGTTGAGGTTTATTTCCTCTCGTCAGGCTTTTGTTTTACTCTGTTGCCGTGAGAAGGCAGACCTGCAGACAGATGTGGATCCTCTCTTTTTAAACATCTAAGGAGCCCATTTCAGAAGAAAATCGGAAAATTACAAATTATTCAAAAGTATCTTTTGAATCTTAAATCTAATGTAGCTTCAGCCAGAGATGATCATTTGTTCTCCTAATGCAGAGGGTGTGATAAATAGCTCCACCCGAAGAGCATAATGGAGGAGAATCTGAGGAAGAGCATTTAAACGGACGGATGTTTTAAGAGCCCAGGCCTGAATGAGAAGCAAATTACAGCCAAACGATGGCTGAATGCCAAATGAAGGCAGTACGCACCGCAGCAGTAGAAGAGATGGACGGAGCACTTGCAAACTTATCGACTTCTCAATCACGTGCACTTGTCCAGCTCAGTGAGTAAGGAGGATGTGGGAGATGGGATGTAAGTGTGGCACCAGTTAGTGGTCAAGAATTCAATTATATCAGAGCTGACAGGCAGGAGTAATGGTGCAGGAGAGGCGCTGCCCTCCCACCGTCAGACGGAGGGAGTGGCGCGGCTAAAAATGGCGCTGAGCTCGTAGGACAGACGGCAGATTCATTCATTGGTTATTTTATCAGCAAAACATTAAACATTACGGACATGAAAACTGGAAAATATAGTTAAAACCAAAAAATAATTATCGTTTGGCCTGGTTTATGCCTCATGTGATGAATTAGCGTGAGAAGAAATCCGGGACAAATCACACCGTCTATAGCCCTGGCAGCTGGTGTTCTGTCAGACCAGCATACCAATAGTCATTACGCATATGTAAAATGTAAGATTTACGGTTATCCCTTAAGTTTTGTACGAAAAATATACTTTGATCTACCTCAACGGGCGTGTATCGATTTAGTTATGAACAAAAAAAACTATTTAAGGTCAAATCGCCATACGCTTCAAAAAACACCAAAAAGTAAGTCATTCAATCGGTTTTTGACTAAAGTATGACCGAGTATTAGGGCCAGGCTAGAGATTTTTTTTATTTTTTATTTTGAGAATAAAGTTGTAAAATAACGAGAATAAAGTCATCATACAGCAACCCGTTTCAGAAAGAAAGCTTCGAGCTCTGACCAGCAGATGATGGCCAACCAGCTCCACCAATCAGCAACCTGAGTCCACTTTGACATCCTGCCCAATTTAAATGCTGGTGCTAAAAGATTTCCTTATATGTCAAACCTGAGCCAAAGTATAACTTCACATGATGCTCCACATCCCTCATTTTAGGGAAGACAGCGTTTCTTGTAAGAATTGTCATTAAATACAACTTGTTTCTCGTAATTTTACGACTTTATTCTCTTACTGTTACGACTTTATTCTCATAATAATACGACTTTATTCTTGTAATTTTGTTACTTTATTCTCATAATAATACAAATGTATTCTCGTGATTTTATGACAACATTCTTGTAAAGTTACGACTTTATAATTTTACACCTTTATTCTCAAAATTGAAGAATAAAAATCTCTAGCCTGGCCCTAATACTCCGTCGCACTAAAGGGATACACGCCTGTTGAGTTAGTTTAAAGCTTATTTTTTGTACAAAACTAATGGGATAAACTAAAGTGATAAACGGACATGGACTATGAATATGCTCATCTGACAGAACACCGGTCCTCTAGGAAGAGTCTTTGGCTCCATTACTGGTATTATTAACTACTCCATTTAAGTAAAGATTGTAGTAGGCAGGAATAATAATGAAATCATTTAATAAAATGATGAGCTTCTTTAGCACGATTTAAATAAACATCTTTATCTTAAAAGCTTTGTTAAAGTTAAATTTACAGATTTTGATCTAAGTCTAGTTTGATCGTATTTATAAATTTAGTTTTAGAAAACCTAAAGGAAGAACTTAATTTTGGACACTAGCAAATGTTCCCTGTTTGGTGGAAAGATACAGGGAACAGCCCATGGGCTCCAAGTTATGGCCCCCAGAGGACCTTCAGCCTGATAAAGTTTGGACACCTCTATGCTATGACATAACAGAACGTCCTCTTTGTTCCTCAGACGGATTAGAAAAAGGTTGCTGTGAAACAACAAAGGTTCTGTTCCGTTAGTCAGACTGATCCTCCATCTTTCCTTTTCTCATTAAACGTCTCCTGCTGTGCGACACAAAGCGCCTATAAATGTCTCAGCTGGGATAAAAACTGCAGATATGTGGAGAGAAAAGCTGAATAATTTTTTTAGGTGTAATGAGGTTAAAAGTGTCTGCAGCATTTAAAGGAAGGAGTCACCACCTGAATACCAAGCAGAGGTCCTTCTTTCCATTCTGCTCGTCGTTCTGATCCTCTGAGTCGAATAAATTCAGCCCAGATCAGAACAAAGACGGGAAAGTCAGCAGCGAGGCTCTGAGGGGGAAAAAACTGGAATCCAGAGCATTTTTCAGAGCCTCATAAACCAAACGACGCCGCCGTATGGACATGGATGACTCACCTTTTCCCACTGAAAAACACCTCCACTTCTCCCCCTGCAGGGTATCAGCTGTTACTGCAGTGGAGCTGCTTTTGTGTTGAACTGAGCTTCACGTCTAAGTGTTTGCATCTGTCTGTCTGTCTGTCCAGCTGTCCACATTCTGATCGCAGTCGGCGCCGTGATGATGGTGGTCGGCTTCCTCGGCTGCTACGGCGCCATCCAGGAGTCCCAGTGTTTGCTGGGAACGGTGAGTTTCAGCTTCACTCTGTGGGTGAAGGGGAGTGGAAGGTGAATTTCCTCTAAGTGTCTCTTCTCTCGTTTTCCTCTGCTGCAGTTCTTCGTCTGCCTGGTCATCCTGTTCGCCTGTGAGGTTGCCGGTGGAATCTGGGGATACATGAACAGAGAAGCTGTAAGTGGAAGACCAAAAGTATTCACACCCACAGAGCAGCAGATTAGTGTTTTATTAGGAGTTAATCAGGGTTCCCCATCAGGGCTCACAGTGCTTCCCTCATATATACATGCATTAAATACAAAGGTAAATGACATTAAAACACAGTGGAGGTTTCAAACCACATTCACCAGGGTGGGGCCCAGTGGCGGCTGGTGGAATTTTCTCCAAGGGGGCGCTATAAATTCAAAGTAGACGTATATAGAAAACCAATCAAACGAATACTAAGTTATCACACCAGTATATTTATATGAATGCCAACAACAAAAAACATTATAAGAACTAAACTTAATTTCATGTACAGGTTTTCTTTTCATTTGTGAAGGCAAATATGGGTTTTGCATGGTCCAATATTGCATCACAAACTGAAAGAAATAATGTACCATGTTCAACTTTTAACGAGAGTCAATGGGTAAACTTTGGGCAGAAATATGTCACCAATTCGACGTAAAATTGGAATGACGCTTTACTCCTCATTAAAGATTAAATATTTATCTTGCAAATCTAAAAAATATATATAAATATATTTCTAAATATTTTAAATTGTAATTTAAAATTAAATTATATAAAGAGTAAATATTTTCTTGTATGTATTAATCAGGGTGATTGGGTTGGTGGGTTTTGCTGTTTTAATTGAAAATAAACATTTCTGGTTTAAAACAGTTAATTAAAGACCATTTACCTTGAAAGAAAAAACTATTATAACAACTGGCTGTCATGTAGAGATCTACTTTAAGTGAAAGATGATGTGTTGCATGACCGCATGATGTCACTCACATCTGCGGGTGATTGTGACCTCATTGGCCGATCGTTTGATGACCAGTGCGGCTTGGGAAAAATAATAATTTCCACTCAGTATTCGAATATAATAGAAAATGTGCTTAATGTATCAGCAGTATTTAAATTAGTTTAATTTAAAGTATAAAGGTGGAAAAGATGAGCGATAATTAGGAAACGGGCAGAATCAGGCAGGTGAGTGAAATCAACAACTAAGGTGAAGCTATCAGGGCAGATCATCACAGCTGCATGTCAGAAGCAATGTTTTCCTCAGTACTTGATCTGATCAGGACAGTTCCTCTGTCAGGATATACAGCTATCATCTTCATTCTGCACATGGCAAAGATTTGAGAATGGAATGAGAATGTCCTTGATCTAAGAGCGAAGGGTAATGTCTCCTTGTTTATAAACATCTATGATGTAATTGTTAGGTTAAAAAATGTAGGTTCATAAAAGAGAAACCGAGTCCACACAGAAGAGGGATTTTTTTTAGCGGCTTCTGCAGAAGGAGAGAGCTACATTCAGCTACGTCTGCTCTCTGACGGGCTCCATATCAGTAATGATATGGCAGACTGGAGTTGTATAAAACGCTTCTTTAACTGTGATCTTGGGCCACTTCAATAAGAAGCAAACCCGGTTTTAAGCGCGACCTTCATTTTCTGTTGACATGTCCCATGGTTACTTAATACTAGGGCTGAAACAATTATTTGGATTAATTTTGATTAATCAATTATTAAAACTAATTTAGTAATCTATTAATCGCTATGAAAAAATGTTTTCTCCTATTTTAAATGTAAATGTTCTTATTTCAATGGCAAAGTGTCTCACTTCCCTCCTCAATTTAATAAGAAAACGACATATTTAGATTTCAATTTTTTTTGTGCAGTTTTCATGTTATTCAGGAACAACCTTTCTGATTCCTTTCCAGGTTTCTAAGGAAATAAGGGACTTCTATGACAGCGTCTATGACGAGGCCACCACTAAAACCTTTGACACTGAAAACAAAAAGGCTCCTGTTTCACAAGTGCTGAAGGTCTTCCATGAGACGGTAGGATCTACTGTCAAGTTGCTGCTTTGGACGTCCGGCGATGGGGAAACCTTTTAACTGTGTGAAGCTTTTATGTTTCAGCTCCAGTGCTGCGGTAAGGACAAGACCACCTCGTTCTTCTCCGTGATAACATCTAAAGTCGGCTTTCAGGACGTCTGTAAATCCGAATGGATGGGAGTTGTAAGTGATGTTTCCCTATTCAGCACTTCCTTTTTCTAGCTTGGTGAAAAGCAGCAATTCTGTAGGAGTTCTAGAAAGAAATCCAGTGTTATGCTACGTTCAGACCACAAGCGGCAGAAGCAGCGAAAACGCACGTGCTGCTTCATTTTTTATGCTTGTACTAGTTTAGTTCTGACGCCCGGCAAAAAGTAGGTCTGATGTGCGTTGGGCAGAGCTACCTTATCCTTAGCTATATTGCTGTGATCAGTGGGTGAGAAGTAGTTTAAATATGTTTTTAAGTGAGAAAGTCCACCTGAAAACTTTCATCCAGATTACGATCCTGCCTTCAAATATTATTTTATTGTCGGAGCCACTCGGACCCCTGTACACCGGCAGTGCGCTGTCACTGGAAATCTCCTTGAACCCCAGTCGGCCTCACCAGATGGCCGCTCACACTGAGTCTGGTTCTGCTGGAGGTTTCTTCCTGTTAAAGGGAGTTTTTCCTCTCCACTGTCGCTACAAGCATGCTTAGTGTGAGGGATTGCCTTTGTGTCAATGAGTCGATGCAATCAACTGGTTTTCCTAAAGCCCGGCGTACACTGTGCAATTTTTTTGAGTCGTTGCAGGCACCAGCTGCTCACACTGTATGAGTAACCGCAGGGTTTAGTCTCGGCTCACCATGTTTGGCCCGACGCTCTGATAACTAATAACAACGTCGGACTCAGCTCCGCGGTGAGATGGAGCTGCTCTGTAGCTCTCTATCCCGAAGCCAAACCAGTAGAAGAGGAATATTAATCTCATTATGGTGACCCGCGCTGCCTTGGCAATTTGCAATTTTGTGTTGAGGGTCCTAGAAAGACAGGGAGACGTATTTGGAAAAAGGACGTGGCTGAGCAGGCGTGGCTGCTGCAGTCTGTCAATTTTGCAGACGGAGCTGCATTTCACTCATTGCTTCCCTGCCATGCTGCTGTGTTTACATCTGAGAGGAAGAAGAAAAAGAAGAATCCTTTTGTGCGCCCTGAGCGATTTGCCCACGACGGTCAAACATGTTTGGTTTTCTCCCGAAAATGGCAGAGTGTACGCCGGGCTTTAGATAGAAAACTTTGAATCAATCTGACTGTATGATCTGAGGAACTGTAAAGTGCCTTGAGATCAAATGTGTTGTGAATTGGCGCTATAGAAATAAACTGAATTGAATTGAAAAGTAGCATCTGGCCCAGTAGCCTCTTCGCGGTTTTCTGCTACTGTTAGCGGTGGCTGGTTTTCCACATACATAATCCAAACTGAGGGGTATCAGAATAATAAAATTGAACATACTTTGCCGACAGGTTTCAACATTTGAAGTTAACTTAGACGTTAATAAACTGTTTCAGAGGAGTGATCATAGCTCTCTGCATCAGCAGTGCTGTGTCTGTCTCCCTGTCAGCTCCCAGATCAGCTTCTCTGATTGGTTGATGTGGCGCATCCAGCAGCAAAAGTTAAATTTTTCCAACTCCAGCAGCTGCTGCTTTTGAAGTGTGTCACGCACGTCAGTTTCTCAGAAGCTTATGACGCGCTGCTCCTGCTGCTCAGATGCGCTGCAGGACCTTTTGCTGCGCCTTGATGTGCGTCAACCATTGACTTTGCATGTAAACCAGCTGCTTCTGCTGCTTGCAGTCTGAACTTAGCATTAAGGAAGAACCTGTTAAAGTGGTGTAAGAGAGAACATTGGTGGCCCTGAAGATGCCTGTGAAGAATGATGGTGGATCTGATCCCAGTTTGACTCCATGGAGAAAGGATAACAGTTGTAGTCGTATTTGTTGGCCTGGCTGAATAGGCGACGTCTTCTGCTCTGGAGTTGCGATAAAAGCAGGAAGGAATCAACTCAATTGCAGCACTGTCAGTTTTTGAAAGCTGAAATCTGGGTCCACCCCTTCTGTTTAAGGTTGGTTTGTCTTTCTTAACACAGATGGCTTCCTTCACGCCCCTCTGTGTCAAAAATAGATGGTTTGAGAAGAGGCTGCAGTGTGAACATAGCCTCAGTCATCCAGGTCATAGTCATTCCAAAAAGTTAAAGTGAAAAAAAACTGGAGGATCGCTCCGCCCTTTTCTCTCTATCCCTGCCTTGTAACTCTTAACGAGAAACCATGTTTTACTGCCTTTAATAACATTTAAAGAGGCTAATTTAGGCTGAGTCTAATTCTAACTTCTGTTACTTGTTTTCTTTTGCAGAGCTGCCACCAAAAAATTAATGAACTCTTCTCGGAAAAGATTTACCTGGTGGGAATCGTTGCGCTGGTGGTTGCTGTCATTATGGTAAGAGCATGAAGACGGACGCAGAGCAGAACTCGCATTTTTCAGTTACTGAAAGCCTTAAAAAATAAAACAGAGTTCATCTACTGGAGACATAGATGGCATCATCTTCAGACAACATTATTACTATTTTTTATTTTTTCAATAGTGACACTTAAAACCTTTGCAAAACAGTTGAAACCTGCTGCTGCTTTTAGATGCAACCTGTTCAATGTCTTGATGATTTAAAGTCCTGCTCAAAGCTACCCGGGCATCTTTGGTTCCCTTTGAAACTTAACCCTTTATAGGGCAAGTTCCCATTTTTGATCCCAAGTATAACCCTTACAAATGGAGCCCCCCCCCCTTTCCCTTACTGAGGTCTAGAAGAACAAGATCTATATCCAGCCATTCAGCAAAGGTACTGCTACATGGCTGTAAAACCCTTACACAATATTCTAATTTTGTGACACACAGAAGTTTGGATTTTCATTTGTTGCCACTTCAAATCATCAAAATTAAATTAAATAAACATTTGAATGCATCAGTCTGTGTGCAATGAATAAATATAATGTATTAAGCCGTGCTTACACTGTACGATTATTATTTTTTTTTTTGTGAGCTGTGAAGTTTTAAAGTCTGCGGTTTCGTCATACAGTTTGAGCTGTAGCTGCCTGCAACGATTGCAAACATCGTACAGTGTATAGTGCCCAGCTTTAGGGGAGAATCAATCCTCTGTGGACTCAGTGTTAGAAGTTATCTTAAACTAAATTTAGCAGGAAGGAACTGAAAGGACATTGCTTTAACCTTAATATAACCTTAATATCCAACTCATTTCGGGAAATTCTCGCCTGTTTTGCTTACCCAAATGGAAAAGAAAATAACCAAATTTTAAGCCAAAATTACGTGTGATACGTTATTTGAAAGCCAACACCCTTTAGTTTCTGAATATTGACATGAAAATTGGGTGAGTAGAACACAGACCAAGCTGCATCAAGCCCAAGCTGTGTCAGTTATTTCTATAGCACCAATTTACAACACAAGGTACTGTACAGTTCACCAGATCATCCAGTCAAACTGATTCAAAGTTTTCTATCTACGGAAAACCAGTTGATTGCATCGAGTCATTGACTTGAATGCAATCCCTCACACTAAGCATGCTTGTAGTGACAGTGGAGAGGAAAAACTCCCTTTTAACAGGAAGAAACCTCCAGCAGAACCAGGCTCAGTGTGAGCTGCCATTTGCTGAGGCCGACTGGGGTTCAAGGAGACAGAAGCAGAGATACAGCAATAAGCAGAGATACAAAAGGCAACTGTAAAAAAATGTTTGCATTTCTCTGCATTTTCTGGTCCATGCTGCTTTTCCCCTGAAGTATTCGGGTAGGAATGATCATTTTTACCATAGTGTTTGTGTCCAACACTCTAGGGGGCAGTGTTGGACACAAACGAAGGAGCTTCCAACACCAAACTGCATGTAGAGGTAGAAAACGCAGATTCCAATATTTTTAAAGCTTCTTTGCAGCCAGAAAACTGCTTGTTTTTGCAGCCAAATGTGACACATGCAGGCATTTTTACTGCGTGTCTCTGTGGTGGTGGGGAGTACCAACATGGAGGACGGTGGCTTCACTTTTTTCAGGCAATCAGCAATCCAGTGAATAAATAGAGATCAGTGGGACCCACGCTTCCCTGCTTGTCTCTTAACATTCTCCTGTTTGTCTCACCCTGCAGATCTTTGAGATGATCTTCAGCATGGTGTTGTGCTGCGGGATCCGCAACAGCCCCGTGTATTAGAGCGACTGAGGGGGCGGAGCCATGACCACAGGGGTCCCAGCCGCTTTCATCTTTTTCTTATTACATAAAATGTATCACCTATAATGCTTGCTGGATTAGTGAGCTCTTTAAAACGCTGCCCTTAAAAACAAACATCATTACACTGTTTTTACGTTTATTTTTTTATTCACACATGCTGTCTTCTGTACACGGTCAGCCCTAACCTTGGAGGATTTGTAGTTTTATTTTTTTTTATTACTCCGTGGTTACAATCACCGGTCGAGGTGCTGTAGATCTTTAAAGATTTGTGTTTGTCTCGGTTTTTACTTCTATCCTGCCTCTGAACTTGCTCATACATTCTGTTTGATGGGTTGATTTGACTGTTCTCTGTATAAACTGTATATAAAAATATGTTAACCGTGCTTTATGTCTGCCTGAGCATGGATATTGTATTACACGAGGCCTCTGTGCAGTAGTTTCTCTTTACTAACCTCTGCTCGATTGTCTTGCTTCAGGCTGAATCGGTGTTTCTTCCTGACACTACAGGCCTTATGCACACAGTATAACAGATTTAGACACGTTGATTCACATCCATGTTAACAGGCTTCTCCTGCATGAATCCAGTTAATCTAAAAAAAGCTGCTGGGAACACTGCTGTTTCCAACTATTTGCTCATCTATAAAAAAAAAAAAAGAAAAGTTTCTTTTTGCACTTAATCGCCTAAAACGATGGACCTTTTCTCTCCTTACAAGCTGCCGTAGTGAGTTTAAAACACTCCTTTCATACTGATCATCACAACTAACATGGTAGTTATTAGTATGACTTTCTGACTAATATTTCTCTGTTTTTAAAAACTTCACATGCGGGGAAATTGCTGCAGGATTTGTCTTTCCTGACATTGTTCTGCTGTCCGCCATCCCTGGACTAACCCGTTCTAGCCAAGTATATCAGACGCGTCGGAGAGACGCATCCGTTCGCTCTCACCTCTCTAACCTCCATGTAGTGTCTAGCTGTGGTCAGCCTATATACGCCTTGCCTTGTTTATCAGAACCGGTGGGAATCTGTGATACAGCTCTAATGTATCCTTATAGAGAAGGTTGTAGAGAGCAATGTATGCCTTTTTCTCTTTGTATTGGAATATCTTTGTGTGGTACGTTAAACAAGTCTGGTGAGGGGGAGGGAGGGGGATTCAGTGGCAGGGTTAGACTTTCTCTCCCAGATTGTTTTAAGACACTAAAGTGAAAAAAAATGTCTATACGAGTCTTAATGAGGATATTCAGTGTTCCTCCAGTTTATTTCAATTTCTGTTTGGCGAAGTATCTTCTTACACACTGCCACCAGCCTCCACCTCTTTCACACTCCTAGACTTGGTTTCACCCAAATTTAAAGGGATTAAATGTATTTTCCAAATAAAGGATTGGTCTGGTCTTCATTTCCACATTTCAAAGCTGATCTAAAATTGAATTCAGATCCTCCAATGGACTGAATATTTTAGTGCCTCAAATAAGATCATTTAATATAATGCACTTTCAAAGGTTTTTTTTTACTTACCGGTATGTTAAACATAAATTGTCTTATTCCATTGGCACATTGTCTTACCTGCTCAAATAGAGGAAAAATTCACTTAAGGAAAAAAGGCTCAGGTTTTCCAGATTGATTTTATTTCCACAGTCTCATGGTCTGAGGATACACAATAAAAATGAATCTGTAACATGTTCAAATCTATTTATTTATTATAAACTCATTAAACATTTAATTGTCTATTTTAATGTACTTATAAAATACCTGTTCATGTCAGGAAATCCTGGAAGGTTTTACTCTGCATTGCTTCATTCCCACACTGATGGCGGTCAGTTAAGAGCATCCACCGCTGCTCTGGGGCACACTGACGACCATCAGTAGGCAATGAGGGTTAAGGACAGAACAACAGGTCAACCGCAGGGGTTTGAACCGGCAACCCTCCTGCATTCTACACCACTGTTACAACAATTGATACTTTAATTATATCTTTGATAAATAAATATTAGGTTTACTTAATTCGCGGGACATTTATTTGTTTCTTTTTTTTTTTTTTTTGTATTTCATTGTATATTTTCATCCTCCAAGTATCCCAGGGATCTACGGCGGAGTATATAATCCTAGTATAAGGCCATATTTATTTAGTAACGGGAATAAGGTCACATCATCTTGAAAATGTAGTTGTAATAATATTAGAATAGTAATATCAGACAAAAAATTTATTTTCATTTAAAAAAAAAAAACATTCAACCAAGATTAACCAGACTGCAGCCTTTTCTGTTGCAAGTTTGTTCTGGTAATATTGTGAGTTTAATCTTGCATTTTCTTTTGTTTGTTTTGTTATGTTTTGCAAATAAAACTCTGGGAGTAGATATCCCAGAGCTTGATAACAGCCCAACGGCTTTGCTTTTAAAAGCAGACCTTTACTTGTACATTAAACTTTATAGAAAATTATTTAGAGAATAAATTCCTGTACAACAGTGAAGGAAAGGGAGATGACAAAGAAAGAGGGGATAAGAACTAAGGAGAGCAGTGGGTCTAAGGGATAACCACTGTGTCAAGGGCAATGGGAATCCCTTAGATTTCCATGTTTATCGAAGTCAAAACCTATGGTGGTTACACATTATTATTCAGGGTGGAATATATCTGCAGTTTAGTATTGAGTATTAGTGTGTCCCTGAACACCTCGAACCAACTCCTCTGCTCTATGTATGAGCATGAACGGGTATAAAGGATTCAAAAAACTTCTTCAGAAGGAAAATATGCACAATAGCAGGTGTGGGTTGCCCCAGACTCACCCTACAGGACTGATAGAGAGGCAGCTCGAGCCCCAGATATCAAGAGGAACCCCAGATCACTGGGACACAAAGAGGGCAGACTTAGGGATGGCTGCACCCGCCAGAGGGACTGGTGGGTGCGGCCTTCAGGGTTGGACAACTGGGTGTGGCCAGACTACCACACTGTTTACATGTGATCACTGCTGCACTTCTATGAAATGGAAATGTCATGAGAGGTGTACAAAGCAAAATTTCCTTTTATATACACACTGTGTATACAAACTGACAATAAAAGTTGTTTAAGTCAGAGAAGGGCATATGGAAGCACCCAGAGCCTGACCCCCAAAGGGACATTCATACGGACATGGGACACAGAGGCAGACACTAAACATATTCTTACACTCCTCATACTGTAGCACACATTCAAAATGGTCGTTCCCAGTCAAACGCCAGCTAAATGGCAGCCCACTCCCAGCAAAATCCCCTCCAACTTCCAGCCACTGGCCTTCTCCTGGACGAGCATTTGTTTTACTCGGAGATGATGCTTCTCTTTAGATCTAAATGTCCACAAATCATGGCGGAAAGAATATTTTAGTACAAAGATTGATGTTTAAAAAGGAATTGTAGGAGACCAGCCAAGGAGAGTGGGGAAATTTTGAATGGCTTCTCTTGTACCTACACTATCCTTCTGGGTCTGAGGGTGTCTACAGTCCCAGTAGGAGAACCCCAGACACCTCACTGTAGAAGGGGGCAGGCAAACAGGAGTATCCGGAAACAGGCGCCACCATAGGGAGAAGAGCAGCAGAAAAAAAAAATAGTACTTTTAGGAGTAGTTTGCTGGGCTGTACTTCTTACCTTTACTTCAGTAATATCCCTGTAAAGGTTTGCTACTTCTACTTAAGTATAATCTATGACTACTCTGACTCACAGAGGACAGAAAAAGGCCCATCGAGGAAAGTGGGGAAATTTAGAATGGCTACTACTGGATACAGTTCTCAATGTCAGGATTGGTTTTCTAAGTTTTATGTGGAAAAAAAGTATTAGTTCTGCATGAATTTGTTCTTTTTATATTCATTACATTTATTTTTATTCTTTATGCATTTGAGTCGACTTTAAAGTAACAGAATATTCCCATAAAAGTCTGTCTGCTTTTATTTATTTATACATTAGGAACCAACAAATATTAATTACTGAAGTAGCCTCTTTACCTAATACTAATACTAAGTAATTTCTCATATGAACACTTTTTACATTTAACTGACTAAAACAAATGTGGATTTTTGGATTCTATGCGCACCTCTGTGTGTTTTACGTCAATAATTCAAAGGAGACAGTTTGACACTAAAATGAATGAGTCACCTAAGCTCAGATTTTAATTTGCAGCTGAGAGGCTCGTTCTCTGCTTCAGGTAACTCCATGAGCAATCTGCAGAACTCACCTGCACATCCTCTTCATATGAGTGTTTTGGATCAGAGACACATCTAAAACAGTAGATAACAAGCCCTGGAGTACGGAAGATGATTAGGGCCACTGAAAAAATAAAAAAAATAAATGAATTTTAAACTTTGTTTCAGTTTAATATGGGAAAAAGTCAGAATTCTGACTCTAATCTCAGAATTCTGACTTTATTCTCAGAATTCAGACTTTTTTCCCCTCAGATTTCTGACTTCAATCTCAGAATTGTGGATCTTAATGTAGATGGGCACCATCTACATTAAGAACTCAGCTTCACTGACAAAGGTGTGAGTTGTTTGGGAGGGTCAGGAATACATTGGTGGAAAATGACAGAGGGGTCCCTGGTGATGCTATTTCTTTAATGGAAGAGCAGAAGGTGATTAAAACAGGAGAGCTAGTTTAGTCTCTAATACAGACATGGCTACAGCTTGATGCTAACATGTTTGTTAGATGTCTGAATTCTGAGATTAAAGTCAGAATTCTGACTTTTTCCCATATCAAATTGAAATCCTTTTTAAGAAACATCATAACTTTTATTTATTTTTTTCAGTGGCCCTAATCCTCTTCCATACTGTAGGACTGAACTGGTACTATTGTTCAAAGGTTTAGTTAAAATGTGCACCCTTCAGTCAGAGAAGCAGTACCAAGCATTTCCACTAGGAGGTGCAACATACAAACATTTTATTATACAGCAGACGTCATGTCTGAATCCCAGAGTTTTTCTGTCCCCTGAGCATATCACAGCTCCATTAATCTGCTCCTCTAGAGCTGAGAGTAAACATGCAAGGCATGTTTATTTTTGCTGAGCAGAGGAGAAAATAAACCCAACCAACAGGGATTTTGTCCAGTTTTCCAACCTTTGGATTGTTACAGTTCTGACCATTAATGGACCTTCCCAGATGGAAACCTCCTGTTCTTTAGCAGGAAAACCACTCTCCCCAAATTCTCCAGAAGTCCAGGAAACTCTTGATGTTTTCTTAGCTAAGTGACACCATTACCCTGATATACAGCCAGGCTTCATTAATGCTGCAGCTTTTTGTTTCAGACCAGGAAGGAAACTAAAACTATATGCATTTCATGCTACTGCTTATAACCAGGTTGAATAAGTATAACTTAAAAAAAGAAAGAAACCTGAGATAATGATGAAAAAAAAACTATTACTTTGACTGAATTGAATCACTAGAACCAGAACATTAGAACGATTTGTTTACAAAGTCATTTTATTATCATATTATTTACATAGCGCCAATTCACAACACGTCACCTCAAAACATGTTACAATTTAACCAGATCATCCAGTCAAATTGATTCAAAGTTTTATATCTTAGGGAACCAGTTTATTGCATTGACTCATTGCCTCAAAGGGAATCCATCACACTAGGCATGCTTGTAGTGACAGGGGAGAGGAAAAACTCCCTTTTAACAGGAATAAACCTCCAGCAGATAAAAAGTTTAATCAATCTGACTGTATGATCTGGATGAACTGTAAAGTGCCTTGAGATGACATGTGTTGTGAATTGGTGCTATAGAAATAAACTGAATTGAACCCATCCTCTTGGGGAGCGGTGGGCTGCCATCGTGGGGCAGTGTGGAGTTAAGGGTCTTTGCTCAGAGACCCAGAGTGGCAGTCTGTGGGAGTGGGACTCAATCAGCTTCTGATAGTGTGGTAATGTGGCCTTTTTGTTAAGTTGTTGCATGTTTTCTAATTTTTGATGTTTATTTTTGAACTTGTTTGCTTGTTTTCAATTTTGTGTGTTGCATGTTTTTTTTTTTGGATTTTGTTTGGAGGCCACATTACCACTCACACCTGGACACGCCCACAGCAACGGCACAGGTGTTCCCCATCAACCAAACAGCGTGCGACTGGGACGCTGATTAAAAAGGCAGCTGTTTGGTTGGAGAGACAGACCGGACGTGGGAAGGCCGATCTTGGAGGGAGCCGGACGGAGCGGGTGAGAGAGAAGCAGCAGGAGAGGTTTGGGGACTGACGGCCGGAGGCCCGCTGGAGCGAGGTGCAGAGACGCACGCCGGAGCGAGGTGCAGAGACGCAGGCCGGAGCGAGGTGCAGAGACGCACGCCGGAGCGAGGTGCAGAGACGCACGCCGGAGCGAGGTGCAGAGACGCACGCCGGAGCGAGGTGCAGAGGCCCGTCATGGAGCGAGGC